TTCAGGTTTCAAAAATTGAAGACAAAAAATTCACATTTCAAGAATTCAAGACGAAAAATTCACATTTTAAGAATTCAAGATGAAAAATTCACATTTTAAAAATTAAAGACGAAAAATTCACATTTCAAGAATTGAACATGAAAAATTTACATTTCAAGAATTCGAGAGGAAAAGTTCACATTTTAAGACTGAAGACAAAAATTCCATTTCAAGAGTTACACAAGAAAAATTTACATCTTCAAACATTTTGAATTCCAAAACTATCCAATCCAATTCACAACTTCTGTTTGTCGGCCTCTTTTCCATCGAAATAGAAAAGATCACAGGACTCACCTCGTGAAGGTCAACAGAACGAGTCCCTCCAAATAAAAGACTAAAATGAGTCGTTTTCTTTTCTGGTCGCTCCTTCTTAAATCGATCAACTGTCGTTAAACAACTAGTTGCATCAAACAGAGTAGCCAAGTTTTATAAACTATGGCAAAAGCTGTTATCGGAACACATTCACCGGGTTACATTAAATGCCGTGATGCATCTTTCATTAAGGGTGTTGCAGACCTTGCCAGAAGCGCTACCATTTAGTCTACTCAACAAGAGGTCAACGAATTTCATCGCCACTGGCACTTTCCGTCCCCAACAAACTGATTCTCAAGCTGTAATTCCGAACGGCATGGCTATCAATCATGAATGTTGGGCTCTCGTTAAGGCTTTATTGGGCTTTTACTCTTGTTATGACAACTCGTTGGTTTGGATATTATTTGTTGTGAATGGATTGGACTAGGTCCAATTCTTCAGTAAAATAATAAGAGTAGTAAAAGCTGAAAAAAAATGATTAATAAATGGTTTAAGACAGACGGACACGAACAGACAGATTGATAGAAATTACTTTTTTGATGGACAGTCCCACCCTCATCCCCCTCTAAAGACTTTTCCAATAAGTTATAGTAAACCTGTTTATAGAGGATTAATGCCTCGTTCGCAAAAAAAAGCTTAAAAAACGAACGCGCACATTTAAATTAATTCGTCCATCTTTTTAAACAAATAAACCCTTACCCTACCTCAAGAACCTCACCCTTCCCCCATCCCCCTACCCCGCATACTATAATCCCTTCCCTTGGCGTCACTGGGGCGCCACTCCCAGATAGATTTGTTGAGGCTCTTCTCGCCGTTCCCACCCACCCTTTACCCCCTACTTTAAGAACCCCTACCCCACTTAGTTTGAACCCTCACACCCAACACCCTGCATCAAAAACCTTCCCCGCTACTTTAATCCCTCACACCCTTCACCCTCCATGAAAAACCTACCCCGCTTACTTTAATCCCTGACACCTTACACCCCCTTCCATCCCTGCGAATTTAATTTCTTACCCCCTACCTTAAGAGCCCCCCCCCACCCCGCTAATTTAATACCTTCCCTTGGCGTCACTGGGGCGCCACTCCCAGATAGATTTGTTGAGGCTCTTCTCGCCGTTCCCACCCACCCTTTACCCCCTACTTCAAGAACCCCTACCCCACATAGTTTGAACCCTCACACCCAACACCCTGCATCAAAAACCTTCCCCGCTACTTTAATCCCTCACACCCTTCACCCTCCATGAAAAACCTACCCCGCTTACTTTAATCCCTGACACCTTACACCCCCTTCCATCCCTGCGAATTTAATTTCTTACCCCCTACCTTAAGAACCCCCCCACCCCGCTAATTTAATACCTTCCCTTGGCGTCACTGGGGCGCCACTCCCAGATAGATTTGTTGAAGCTCTTCTCGCCGTTCCCACCCACCCTTTACCCCCTACTTCAAGAACCCCTACCCCACTTAATTTGAACCCTCACACCCAACACCCTGCATCAAAAACCTTCCCCGCTACTTTAATCCCTCACACCCTTCACCCTCCATGAAAAACCTACCCCGCTTACTTTAATCCCTGACACCGTACACCCCCTTCCATCCCTGCGAATTTAATTTCTTACCCCCTACCTTAAGAACCCCCCACCCCGCTAATTTAATACCTTCCCTTGGCGTCACTGGGGCGCCACTCCCAGATAAATTTGTTGAGGCTCTTCTCGCCGTTCCCACCCACCTTTTACCCTACACCCCCTCCCATCCCTGCGAATTTAATCCCTTACCCCCCTACCTTTTCACTCAACTTTTAAAGGAAACCCTTCCGCTTCGTCGTCCTCAGGAACTCCGCAACAGAACATTCGTTTGAACGTTCTCCATAACCCCTTCTTCTTTTTGGGGTTCTCGTTGACTTCGGCTTGCATGCTCTTGGTTTCTTCAGCAAATGTTGATGTTTCAGATGACTCCGGATACGAATAGATTGATGTAATCGTTGCAGCATCATCGTCCTGAAATAAAAAATTCATTTTATTAAAATAAAGTGCCAAGAATCTAAATTCAAAATTCCAGTCATTTGGATATTCTGATTCCTTATAACACTACATTCATCTGATAAGTGTAAACTTACCAAGTAATGTAAATGTGATGCCACAAATCTATTCATTTCCGATGCCAGCGACTGATGATGGAACATGAAAATGCTGACTTCTCTCTGTAGGTAGATGTTATTGTAATTTTCATGATACAACACGAAAAAATCCTCCAACTCCAATAACATCTCCAAACCAGCATCTTCGAACCACTCCACAAGAAACCAGAAAAAAGCAAACAACTCATCTTGCTTGGCCAAAAAGTTTCTCATGTCTCGCAACACAAGAAACTTAATGAACACAAGATGAAGTTCAGGATGCTGTTTTATGAAATTTCTTCTTGAAAGTCGCAATCGTCCACTATCAACATTATGCATGCGCAAGAATTCTCTTATTCCTCTTTTTATTGATGAATCTTCTTTCGATGCTTGCTTCATGAGATCATGAGGCAAGTTTCCCAAAGAAGGCTTCTCAAACATAAACTGAAATTAAAAATTAAAATCATTTTAGAGTTTTTCTTAAATTAAAAATATCTAATATATAAAAGCCCAATTCACTGATTCACTGACTCTGGAACGGAAGCCATGTGAAGACATTTGTGAAGCCGTGTGAAGACAAAAATTTAAGGAGTGTTGACAAGGTGGTTGTAAGGTGGGTGTGAGTGTCAGGTGTGGGGTGGGGGGTCAGGTAAGAATTGGGGGCAAGGGGGTGTCAGGGTGTATTTTGTGAAGCCGATGATTCGAGGGGTGCTGACAAGGTGGGTGTCAGTTGTGGGGGGTGATAAAGTGAGTGTCAGGTGGGGATGGAGGCAAGGGGGGTGTCAGTTGGGGGGGGGGGGTCCGAATTTAAGGGGGTTTGTGGGAAAAGTTTGCTGTCAGGAATATTTTGTGAAGCCATATAAAATTTTGTGAAGCCATGTGAAGTTTTGTGAAGCCATGCGAAGCTTTGTGAAAAGACATGGTGAGTTTCGGGGGAATTAAAGTTTTAGTGGGATTAAAGGGGTCCGAGTTTGAGGGGGTTTGTGAATACATTTATAAAATTTTTGTGGGATTGAGTCCGAGTTTGAGGAGGTTTGTGAAGTTTTGTGTTAGGATTGACCTTAAAAACATTATGGTTATTTGCGTCTTACAGTTATTTACACAATAGTAATCAAATTTTAACCCTGATAAGAGGCGCCACAGGCGCCTCCGGACAGCCTAGTTATTATATAATTACTCACCTTTAAGAGGTTCCTTTTCTCGCCAATAGCTCTTTCGATCTGCAACAATTCCTCCGACATGGATTGAAAGGTCCTGTACAAAGGAATCATTGTCGGCATGCTGAATGATCGAAGGAGACGTGAATTTTCGGTTCCAGCATTTATCATTGGCATGCTGCACGTTCTCAGGAGCTCGGGAACCGGTTGCTAAAATAAATAAATGGAAAAAAAAATTTTAAAATTTATTCACAATTTAAAATGAATCATCGAAGGATGATGAATATCAACTGCTTGCTTGCATGATTAGTATTATTTCCATGCAAGAAGCATCATGTCTAGTTGGCACTTCCAACTGGGTGGAAGTGACAAACAAATTTTACTTCATTTCTTGACTTTTCAAACGATTTTAAAGATGAGTCCAGTTCTGAGGAACTTAGCAGTTCCGTAGGTTCCAATGCAGCCAGTACGCATCGTATGACTACTTAGAACCGAAAAATTTCAGTGGATAATGAAAGAAGTGCTTGGTTCCTTAAATCTGGACCCCTCTCAAAAATTGTTAAAGAAGTCAAGAAATGTTGAAAAAACATTTTTGTCAGTTTCATCCAGTTGGAAGTACCAACTTGACATGATGCTTCTTGAATGAAAATCATACAAACCATGCAGCAATTAAACTGAGTCCTTTTGTTTTTGAATCATCGAAATCCTATCCTTACTTCTATCTCCACATTGGCTATTTCGTTGTTGCTTGCTTTATTCTCAAGCTGATGATCTTCATCCTCTAAAAGCTGAATGAACCGCTGAACAGTTTTGCGAAAATTTGACGTTGACATGTTGAACTAATCTTCACTTTTAATGTTTACACAATACTGAAGAAATTTCAGAATTGGTCAAATTTCAATGGTTGCTGGGATAATTATTCTTTTGTATACTGAATTTTTATCATTTTGTATGAAAATTAAAATGATATTTTGTGACATTAAAACTATCGGGAAATCGCTGAATCTGGTGCAGGAACATATCCAGTGTTACAAAATAAGTGATCGGTTCCGTTGAGTTTGAAACAAAGATAAAAAAATGTTTATCAAATAATAATTTCCTTCAAATTTAAGTTATTATTGAGCAATAAGTGATAGTGAAAATGTGGAAGAAGGCACGTTCACTACGTCTATTTACTAAATGACTGTTTTATACTCTCATGGATTTCACTATTAATTCTTCAAAGAAAAAACTTTATTTAAATAAATTTGATGTCTAAAATGCAATTTAGAAAATCAATTAAGTACAAAATGGTCAAAAAATACAAAAAGTTTTAGCTGTAAAGTTTCATTAAAAATGTTTGATAAAAAACAACAAACTAAAGGCACATATTTAGGCATTCACTCGTTTTCTTCTTCTAAATCTTCATTTTGAGGTTGTTGAAAGACATCTGGCATCATATCATTCGCATCATCTTTCTTTTCTTGAATTAATTTCATATCTTCTGCTGTCTTTAGGCATAATTTGGCTTCTTCAATTGCCTTTGATCTTTTCTCGTCGTTAAGCTGAGTGACACCCATTAAAAGCTGCAAAACATCAGTATCGAATATTTTCTCAGCAACTGTTTTACTCTGTCGAATCATGTTGTGAATTATGACAATTCCTCTAAACTGTACATCAGGGCTTGGATTCGCTATTAACGTATGCAAAATTTCAAGCCATGACGATGGAGTTATCATTTTCTCACAACATTTTGCACTATTAGATGTCAGAATTGCTAATGCACCACTACATGCTAAAGCTGTTTCTTCATCTTCCTCCTCGCACAACAGTGCTAAGAATTTTACGCGATCATTGTCTCCTTCATGCCATTTTATATAATCCTCATTCAAAACCATGTTGCAAATTACTTGTGTGGCAGCTCTAGTCAACAAGATGTGATCTTCCATTAAGAACATTTCAATACGTGACATTCCTTTCTCTTTCATTATGCGATTGCGAACTGAATCATTCATTTGAGCTAAATTACAAAGTGCCAAAAGTGCTTCAAAATTCTCGAGTGCACTATAGTCTGGATGAAGTTGATTAAGTAATGGTCTAACAACTTCTAATGATCGTTGTCCAGGAAATGCTTGTTCGGGATTGATAGTGATACCTAAACGTGACAAAGCCTGACCAGCATTTCGTTTGCCCTTTTCAGTACCTAAAGTAATTGAAAAAAAAACAGAATTTAAAATAAATCAATAAAAATGCAGTAATAAAGTTTGAAATTCTTACCTTTTAATGCAAGCTGAATTAAGACACGAGCACCACCTTGTTGGAGCAAATTGCATTAAAAACTCTCGCAATCATTTCTTTGGCATTGTCACTCTCAGTTTTTGATAGAGCAACTAAGGCGACAGTAATACCTTCTTCTGCCAATGTATTAATACGTTTGGCTACAAAATCTGGATCATCGAGTTCTGATTCTTCTGGAACATGATGTTTTGCGAATTTAGCAAGTTCCATAAGTTCAGGAAGCATTTCCTGCTTTTCATAAGCATTGACAAGATTTACAAGTGTAGTAACAACACCATAAATGACAGATTGATCTCCAGTTTTAGCTAGTTCAATGAGTGCTTGAATAGCCAATTTATCATCAATTAATTTCTCTTTAACATCAGCATCAAGTGTAAGGAATGACAATCCTTCAGCTGCAAATTTACGAATATCCTTATCTTTACCAGGTTTAATGAGAAAACGACGACATGCTTCAGCTAGTTTAACAGTTGATCCATCAGCAAATGGACGAATAGATGCATCAAGGCCACCAGAGCTACCTAATTTACATAATCCAACTACTGCTTTTACTCGAATTCCTTCATCTTTTGAATGATATAATTTCTTTTAAATTTCCACCCCACTTGCTATTAATGCTTTAGCCTTATCCTTCTTTGATGCTGCAGCAATAAGACATTCAGAAGCTACTTTTTGATGTAACAATTCATCATCACTTGCCATTGCTAAAATCATTTGCATGATTCCATCACGTGCAAAAATTGTATTGCCAACATCTAATGGACCAAGAAGAAATGATGTTAAAGCGACTACAACACGAACTTTTGATTCAAATTCTGGATTTAAAAGCTTATCCCTTATATATTCATCAATGTGAGCAATGAATCGTTGTCGAGCTTCATCATAGTACATGTTTTCATAAATTCTTGCTAAACAAACGGAAGCGATGGTTCTAGACGATGGTGTTATTGGCATTGCACTCTCATATTTATATTCCTCTAATTCACTACAAATTTCCATCAAACGATAAAGACCCTTTTGCTCGATAAGACGTTCAGCCCAATTAAGTGTTTGATGATGAGCATTTCTGATCAATAATTCTACAACAGCATCACGAGCTTCGCCAGTAATTGTACGATCTGTTGTTGCATAAACCAAGCATGTAAGAATTGTATCAATTTCATTCTTATTATCTTCAACTAATTGTTGATCTGGCTTTGAATCCTCTTTATTAGTTAAGCCAGAGAATGAATTAAGAATGACTTGTAAGCAATGCTGAGCTCACATGACACGATCAGCATTTTTACTATCGAGAATTTGTAGGAATCAAGGGATACCAAATTCATTAATGATCTTCTTTGTGTAATGTAATGACTTGATACAGATATCATCAATTACACGTATAGCATTAACAAGTATTTCATCATTTTTTTCGACTTTGAATAATTTACCGACACGAGTAGCTATATTCTCACGGAACATTACATCGGCTCCTGCCTTTTCTCTAGCTAACACTACAAGATTACTCATTGCAGTCTCTCTTTTGCTTCTCTCGGCACCAATATCAAATGCTAATTCCATCATTTTTGATACCTTTGTGGATGTTTGAGCATTTATAGCTGCAGGATCCTGAGATAAGGCTGAATTGGTTTAAAGTTTGGATCATTCTTGCAAATTGTTCGATTTTCAGCCACAAAAGATATTAAGCATGCAAAAGTCTTTTAAATAATTAAAATTGTGCTTTTAATGTTTCTTTATGAGAATCAATTTTTTTTGGTAAAATATATATTTATTATAAATTTGACAATTTTTCAATCTCATCATTAATGTTCGTGCTTCTGTCATAGCTCAAAACTTCAGTGTAGATAGAGAAAAATCCTTCAAGCTTTTGCGAGTTTTCCGTTTGGTTTTCTTTAACAAAGGAGCAAATCTTTTGTGAAACCTGTTGAATAGAAAACTCATTTTATAAAAGCTAGTTATGTATGAATTAGTATAGGGGCCGTTCAATTATGACGTCCGAAATTAACGGTCATTTTTCAAAAAAGATCAATGGATTTCCAGGAATTTCTATTGTTCTTTTCTTGCTCTAAATTCAAAATATTTTCATAACGAAACATGAAATTAAACCAATTGATTTAAAATCCAATGATGAAGAAGTTTGGCAAATAAGTTCATGTTCGCAAATAATCCATATTCCAAAAATTGAAACACGAAAAATCGTATTCCAATTGAAAAATTCACGTTTCAAAAATAGAAGACGAAAAATTCAGGTTTCAAAAAATTGAACATAAAAAATTCACATTTTAAAAATTAAAGACGAAAAATTCACATTTCAAGAATTAAACATGAAAAATTTACATTTCAAGAATTCAAGATGAAAAATTCAAATTTCAAAAAATTGAACATGAACTAGTGTATCGGGTAGAAACCCAATGCGGATTATATTCACACCGTACTATCATAAGTCTTATGGATAGACCAAGATTTGCCCATCATAAGTATGAAGGTATGAAGCTTGATAAGTCAACTAAGCTTCGCTCAGCATAAGTTTAAAGCTATAAAGCTATCGCGTAAGCTGAGCTACGCTCAGCATAAGTTTGAAGTTATAAAGCTATCGCGTAAGCTGAGCTACGCTCAGCATAAGTTTGAAGATATGAAGCTAGAGAGGCAGCTGAGCTTCGCTCAGCATAAGTTTGAAGTTATAAAGCTATCGCGTAAGCTGAGCTACGCTCAGCATAAGTTTGAAGATATAAAGCTATCGAGTCAGCTGAGCTACGCTCAACATAAGTTTGAAGGTATAAAGCTTGACGAATATGCCAAATATTCTTTAAAAGTTTTTTAAAAAAAATTTTCATCCAAAGTTAAATTTTATAAAAATCACAGTCAACTTTTGTTTTAAAAAATTCGTAAGAAAGGAAAGTTTTTTGCCATTTCTGAAGCAACGGCTGTTCCTACCTTGCCCAAAAACAATACAGCTCTTCTATAGAGCAGCACGGATCAAATGTAAAAAACTAGAAGTCTCTACGATGTCTCGTTATTGAGATTTCTTGCTGATTAACTTGCTTGCTTGCTTGCTTGTTTGCTTACAGAAAGCGTATTTTGCGATTTTCTCAGCAATGCCACAACCAATTTGAAATCTGTTTTTTGAAAATGATGTAAAATTTCAGGCACAAACTTTTCTTCTTGCCCTTTTATAACCAATTTTGCTTTGTTTTCTCACAAAATGCGAAAAACTGATTTTTCAATCTGAACAAAACCAATAGATTCGCACGTGAAAACGGTGTGAATATAAAAATTCACATTTTAAAAATTAAAGACGAAAAATTCACATTTCAAGAATTAAACATGAAAAATTTACATTTCAAGAATTCAAGGTGAAAAATTCAAATTTCAAAAAATTGAACATGAAAAATTCACATTTTAAGAATTCAAGATGAAAAATTCACATTTCAAAAATTTGAACATAAAAAATTCACGTTTCAAAAATAGAAGACGAAAAATTCAGGTTTCAAAAATTGAAGACAAAAAATTCACATTTCAAGAATTCAAGACAAAAAATTCACATTTCAAAAATAGAGACGAAAAATTCACATTTTAAAAACTTGAACATGAAAAATTCACATTTCAAAAAATTGAACATGAAAAATTCACATTTCAAAAAATTGAACATAAAAAATTCACGTTTCAAAAATAGAAGACGAAAAATTCAGGTTTCAAAAATTGAAGACAAAAAATTCACATTTCAAGAATTCAAGACAAAAAATTCACATTACAAGAATTGAACATGAAAAATTCAAGACGAAAAATTCACATTTCAAAAAATTGAACATGTAAAATTCACATTTTAAAAATTAAAGACGAAAAATTCACATTTCAAGAATTGAACATGAAAAATTCACGTTTCAAGAATTCAAGACAAAAATTTTCACATTTCAAGAATTGAATATGAAAAATTCAAGACGAAAAATTCACATTTCAAGAATTAAACATGAAAAATTCACATTTCAAGAATTCAAGATGAAAAATTCACATTTCAAAAAATTGAACATGAAAAATTCACATTTCAAAAAATTGAACATAAAAAATTCACGTTTCAAAAATAGAAGACGAAAAATTCAGGTTTCAAAAATTGAAGACAAAAAATTCACATTTCAAGAATTTAAGACGAAAAATTCACATTTTAAGAATTCAAGATGAAAAATTCACATTTCAAGAATTCAAGATGAAAAATTCACTTTTCAAAAAATTGAACATGAAAAATTCACATTTCAAAAAATTGAACATAAAAAATTGACATTTCAAGAATTCAAGATGAAAAATTCATACTTTAAGAATTCAAGACGAAAAATTCACATTTCAAAAAATTAAAGACGAAAAATTCACATTTCAAGAATTGAACATGAAAAATTCACATTTCAAGAATTCAAGATGAAAAATTCACATTTCAAAAAATTGAACATGAAAAATTCACATTTCAAAAAATTGAACATAAAAAAATTCACGTTTCAAAAATAGAAGACGAAAAATTCAGGTTTCAAAAATTGAAGACAAAAAATTCACATTTCAAGAATTCAAGACGAAAAATTCACATTTTAAGAATTCAAGATGAAAAATTCACATTTTAAAAATTAAAGACGAAAAATTCACATTTCAAGAATTGAACATGAAAAATTTACATTTCAAGAATTCGAGAGGAAAAGTTCACATTTTAAGACTGAAGACAAAAATTCCATTTCAAGAGTTACACAAGAAAAATTTACATCTTCAAACATTTTGAATTCCAAAACTATCCAATCCAATTCACAACTTCTGTTTGTCGGCCTCTTTTCCATCGAAATAGAAAAGATCACAGGACTCACCTCGTGAAGGTCAACAGAACGAGTCCCTCCAAATAAAAGACTAAAATGAGTCGTTTTCTTTTCTGGTCGCTCCTTCTTAAATCGATCAACTGTCGTTAAACAACTAGTTGCATCAAACAGAGTAGCCAAGTTTTATAAACTATGGCAAAAGCTGTTATCGGAACACATTCACCGGGTTACATTAAATGCCGTGATGCATCTTTCATTAAGGGTGTTGCAGACCTTGCCAGAAGCGCTACCATTTAGTCTACTCAACAAGAGGTCAACGAATTTCATCGCCACTGGCACTTTCCGTCCCCAACAAACTGATTCTCAAGCTGTAATTCCGAACGGCATGGCTATCAATCATGAATGTTGGGCTCTCGTTAAGGCTTTATTGGGCTTTTACTCTTGTTATGACAACTCGTTGGTTTGGATATTATTTGTTGTGAATGGATTGGACTAGGTCCAATTCTTCAGTAAATAATAAGAGTAGTAAAAGCTGAAAAAAAATGATTAATAAATGGTTTAAGACAGACGGACACGAACAGACAGATTGATAGAAATTACTTTTTTGATGGACAGTCCCACCCTCATCCCCCTCTAAAGACTTTTCCAATAAGTTATAGTAAACCTGTTTATAGAGGATTAATGCCTCGTTCGCAAAAAAAAGCTTAAAAAACGAACGCGCACATTTAAATTAATTCGTCCATCTTTTTAAACAAATAAACCCTTACCCTACCTCAAGAACCTCACCCTTCCCCCATCCCCCTACCCCGCATACTATAATCCCTTCCCTTGGCGTCACTGGGGCGCCACTCCCAGATAGATTTGTTGAGGCTCTTCTCGCCGTTCCCACCCACCCTTTACCCCCTACTTTAAGAACCCCTACCCCACTTAGTTTGAACCCTCACACCCAACACCCTGCATCAAAAACCTTCCCCGCTACTTTAATCCCTCACACCCTTCACCCTCCATGAAAAACCTACCCCGCTTACTTTAATCCCTGACACCTTACACCCCCTTCCATCCCTGCGAATTTAATTTCTTACCCCCTACCTTAAGAGCCCCCCCCCACCCCGCTAATTTAATACCTTCCCTTGGCGTCACTGGGGCGCCACTCCCAGATAGATTTGTTGAGGCTCTTCTCGCCGTTCCCACCCACCCTTTACCCCCTACTTCAAGAACCCCTACCCCACATAGTTTGAACCCTCACACCCAACACCCTGCATCAAAAACCTTCCCCGCTACTTTAATCCCTCACACCCTTCACCCTCCATGAAAAACCTACCCCGCTTACTTTAATCCCTGACACCTTACACCCCCTTCCATCCCTGCGAATTTAATTTCTTACCCCCTACCTTAAGAACCCCCCCACCCCGCTAATTTAATACCTTCCCTTGGCGTCACTGGGGCGCCACTCCCAGATAGATTTGTTGAGGCTCTTCTCGCCGTTCCCACCCACCCTTTACCCCCTACTTCAAGAACCCCTACCCCACTTAATTTGAACCCTCACACCCAACACCCTGCATCAAAAACCTTCCCCGCTACTTTAATCCCTCACACCCTTCACCCTCCATGAAAAACCTACCCCGCTTACTTTAATCCCTGACACCGTACACCCCCTTCCATCCCTGCGAATTTAATTTCTTACCCCCTACCTTAAGAACCCCCCACCCCGCTAATTTAATACCTTCCCTTGGCGTCACTGGGGCGCCACTCCCAGATAGATTTGTTGAGGCTCTT